AGTGAAAGGTTACGATGGACGTTTTTGCGCAAAAACGAGGATTTTGGAGAACAAAGTAGGTGGGTATAAGTATGTCGTGTGTCCTTCCGTCCGTTACCATGACAACTAGCGCGCAGTGCAGCACGCGAGTATTGCTTGCGGACTGCGGAGATGTGATGTATAGTATTAAGTAATAAGCACAATTTGTACGTGGTATGCGTAGTATAGTGTACTGATGTGTATCAATATCATTATTATGAAGTGAGCTGATTGGAGCCTATATTTATAGTTATAGTGAACGGAAATCTAGCGTCCGCCAAAACGAAATCAACGGGCGCAATTCTTGTTATTATATGAACTGGAAGTGGTCAGTTACAACTTTACAAAGTTCATTTCAAAAAATATACGAACTTGCTTGGATATATAACATCCATATATCCATTCCATATTTAAGAATTTGGTTTATCGTATCCTTAACCAGATTGAAAACTAACTGCAATTAATGTATTTTTGTAACTTCAGTAAGTCTTTAATTTAGATATCAACGTATTATGGAATTATCATCCTTCCTTTCAGCGGAGGGTAGAAAATGTGAAAGATTGCTGCAACAAGTGAGACACAGGCACAAACTTCCCGCACAGCTAATCATCAAAATTAAGCTAGACCCTGAGGTTACCACCTAGTTACCACCTAGTTACCACCTAGTTACCACCTAGTTACCACCTAGTTACCACCTAGTTACCACCTAGTTACCTCCTAGTTACCACCTAGTTACCACCTAGTTACCACTTACTACTTAGTTACCACCTAGTTACCACCTAGTTACCACCTAGTTACCACATAGTTACCACCTAGTTACCACCTAGTTACCACCTAAACTTCCCGCACAGCTAATCATCAAGATAAAGCTAGACCCTGAGGTTAATGATAAAATACTCTTTTTGTCTCTCCATACTCACAAGTGTGGCAATTTCCACCGATCCTTTATTACATTACTAGGCAGCTGATATAATTTCTTATAATTTCATGTAAAACTTTAGATTTGCAATTGCAATTGCCAAAATGAATATACAAATGAATAATAAACTTATATGGGAACAACAGAATTCTTCTATACACATTAAATATCGTCAAACTATGAACTTATGAATGTGTTAACAATTAATTTAGCCTGATAATCATTTCACGTGAGAATGTTTATTTCAGATGAAGGGATCCAGGGATATAATGGCAGATTTATTCAAGGTGACAGGAACGACGAACCTTCCACAAGTAACTGAATTCAAAAACCGTTGAACATTTTAATAACAATAATAATCTTATTTTATTTCAACATCTCTTGATAGTCTAACGAAGCTTTGCTGAAGAAATCAAATAAAGTTTGGAATTGATTTCCCGCTCAAATTGACAATGCACATTTATAAACAAAGTTTACTCCTTGAAACTGTCCAGTAAAATAGGATAAAGGTAAAAAGTTGTGTCAACAGGTATTTGTTAACCAGACCTGGGTAGGAGGATACTATCAGTTAAAAGCCGAGTTACCACATAGTTACCACATAGTTACCACATAGTTACCACATAGTTACCACATAGTTACCACATAGTTACCACATAGTTACCACATAGTTACCACATAGTTACCACATAGTTACCACATAGTTACCACATAGTTACCACATAGTTACCACATAGTTACCACATAGTTACCACATAGTTACCACATAGTTACCACATAGTTACCACATAGTTACCACATAGTTACCACATAGTTACCACATAGTTACCACATAGTTACCACATAGTTACCACATAGTTACCACATAGTTACCACCTAGTTACCACATAGTTACCACCTAGTTACCACATAGTTACCACATAGTTACCACATAGTTACCACATAGTTACCACATAGTTACCACATAGTTACCACATAGTTACCACATAGTTACCACATAGTTACCACCTAGTTACCACCTAGTAACCACCTAGTTACCACCTAGTTACCACCTAGTTACCACCTAGTTACCACCTAGTTACCGCCTAGTTACCGCCTAGTTACCACCTAGTTACCACCTAGTTACCACCTAGTTACCACCTAGTTACCACCTAGTTACCACCTAGTTACCACCTAGTCCACAGGTATTTGTTAACCAGACCTGGGTGGGAGGATACTATCAACTAAAAACCACTAAGAACAGTGGTCAGCTTGGTAAAGAGCTCGTCAAAGGGCACGGTGAGCTAAAGTGATTTTATATGAATACAATTTACTTAGAGACAACTGGCAAGGTGTTAGGTGAGTGATCTCACTCCTAGACAGTATTATTTGCTTTTGCCACCTGAAGCTGAACTAAAATTCCTGTGATTTTGAAACTGGATATTTTACATAATCTCAATGAAGGGTTTGAAGAAGCAGAAGAACACCAACTGGGAGAAGCCCATGTTCATCGTGATGATGCCTCCCACCCCACACACCCCTACTTTGGGAGCCGTGTTTCTAGAATAGTCCTCACCACGCCTCACGCTCCTAGGATTACTTACTTTGATTATGAGAAGACACAGTTTCCACGGAATCGCCGCTGAAGTTACCACCTAGTTACCAGCTAGTTACCCCCTAGTTACCACCTAGTAACCACCTGAAGTGATTATCGACTGAACCTTTTTTTAATTTTGATGAGAAAGTTTTCACGATTCGTAATTAAGATATATGCTATTATATCAATATTGCTGACTTTTTAATATGCTAATATGGCAATCTGAGTAATACGCATCCAAGAAATGACGAAATTTCATATGTGATGTGTTTATCAGTTGAAATCGTTTTTGTGATTTCACTTTAATTATCCTTCTTACTTTCTTATGTAATGAGGCCGTTTTTATTCTTGAATTGTTGTTGATATAACAGTAGCACAAATTATGCAAACAAGATCCTGTAATCTAACCATTAATTAGTTAATATCTCCACAATTGATAAAGGAGACAATGTCACCACTAACAGTCTGACAAGGTAGCACTTAGTAACACTTAGTAACATTTAGTAACACTCAGTAGCACTTAGTAACACTTAGTAACACTTAGTAACACTTAGTAACACTTAGTAACACTTCTCTGTAGCCTGCACATGGATGCGTTAGTAGCACTGGGTATAACAAACTACGCTCTGTGGATAATACGCAACACCAGATCAGCTCTGTTCACTAAAGACGGGTGTACTGTTTGTAAAGCTGCTATCAAGGTCTTAAAGAGATTGGGTTAGTAACCACATAGTTACCACCTAGTTACCACCTAGTTACCACCTAGTTACCACCTAGTTACCATCTAGTTACCACCTAGTTACTACCTAGTTACCACCTAGTTACCACCTTCTTACCACCTAGTTACCACCTAGTTACCACCTAGTTACCACCTAGTTACCACCTATTTACCACCTTCATACCACCTAGTTACCACCTATTTACCACCTATTTACCACCTTCTTACCACCTTCTTACCACTTAGTAACCACCTAGTTACCACCTAGTTACCACCTAGTCACCATCTACTGTTTAGGAAAGACTATTGGTATTGTTGACAAAGATGTGACGGTAATCGATTTGGATAAGAGGCCTGATAAGGAGAAAATCATCAGAGAGCTGGAGCAACTTACAGGTACTCTTTATCTTAAGGGGGATATAAAGTTAGAGAATTATTTTATGCTTAATCTCCCGTGCTTTGAACTGTGATCGTTTTCCATTTTAACTGTTTTAGCGAGCAATCTCTCAGGATCAAACACAGTTCCACAGCTGTTTGTAAACGAACGTCACGTCGGTGGACTGGATAATATCAAGGTGATATTCATTAACATCTTTAATCTTATGTTCACGATAATTGTATGCATCATTGTGACTGGTTTTAACCTATCACTTGAGGAACTGTACATCTCCGACAGGTAACTTTAAGGCATCGTGTACCGTCTAATATTGATATGTGAACCTGGGTCAGATCACTAAAAAATAAACCAAAGTTTACCATGAATCTTGATTTCATTGCGGTTTGATAATAAAATAATAATACGATCTCTATAAACAGAACGAGTACAAAAACCGAACGTTGCACAAAGAGTACGCGATAGCTCGTGCTATGGAGAAGCAGACTTGTGTTAACTGTGAGCTTAAGAACGTTGAAAAGTCATTACGAATGAGAACTCAACAGGGCTCACAACACGGTGCTGATCATCAAGAGAGTGTTCAGAGCAACTATAATGTTGACAGTTCCGACTCGGAGTCAGATTTTTAGTATATTTTAAATGATATTATGTTAGAAATTAAGTTTTTTTTTTCAATTTCATGAAACTGTAAATTTCACAATAATAAAACTATAATTTCAAACATTTTGATTTAATTTCGTCCAATATGATTCAATTTTATATAAAGCGTCAAAGATGTTAAATCCATGTTTAGAATTACTGATATTCTAAAAATAATCCGCTATATGTTTGTATATATTCTCATAATGCTTTAGGATGGTCCATCCGATAGACATCCTCAATGCAGGAGTTCCAGTGGACATCAAATGGCTTCTTGAACAGGTAATTATCAAACTTCATTTCAAACTTTACACAAATCTGAAGTAGTTAACAGTAAACATTTTGAAGATCTGATAAGTCTACAAAGAAGATCGGTAAAAACTTAAAATTATAATTAAATGGCAATAAACTTAAAAACTAAAACATAAAACTTAAACAGCTAGGTAAACACATTGATAAGTGACTCAAACCTTATTTTAGAATTTTTGCCAAGTCAAAAGCCAAATAATGTCTGCTTTAATTTTTGTCTGAACGTATTGAACTATAATTTGTAAATGACACGGACACATTGCAGGTACGAATATTGGTGATATCGAGCAGGGAATGTTACCTAGTTACCACCTAGTTACCACCTAGTTACCACATAGTTACCAACTAGTTACCACCTAGTTACCACCTAGTTACCACCTAGTTACCACATTGCAGGTACGAATATTGGTGATATCGAGCAGCGAATGTCATTGGTGCATGAAGACGAAGGACATCTTGTACAAGGTTACGATTTATTACATTTTACCTCACTTTTTATTAAGTTTTAATGTATTTTCTAGTATTGGGGTTTTTATTTTTAACTGATTATGATGTAAACAATAAATTAGTCCATTAGAGACAATCCCCTCACGAGAGGCTTTCAACCAGGTCGGAAAACAGTGCATGCTGAATGATAACGAAATGTTGTTCCTCAATATCGACTCATTTAAAAAGGGTAAAAAGGTTTGTAACTTTCATTATATCTATATTCAAAAAGGGTAAAAAGGTTTGACGTTTTACCTATTGTAACAAACATATTAATTCATTACCTATTATCATTACCAACACCTATACAGCTGTTTGACCAAGTATCGAAAATGACCGACATAGAGACAGTCCCCCAAGTGTTCATTGACGAGACTTTTATCGGGGGGTACCCTGATGTTAAGATGCTTCACGAGAGGCGATACATTCATGAAATGTTGCTACCAAAGCCTGGGGTTAGTAATACGTTTACTTAGTTACCACCTAGTTACCACCTAGTTACCACCTAGTTACCACCTAGTTACCACCTAGTTACCACCTAGTTACCACCTAGTTACCACCTAGTTACCACCTAGTTACCACCTAGTTACCACCTAGTTACCACCTAGTTACCACCTAGTTACCACCTAGCTACCACCTAGTTACCACCTAGCTACCACTTTGTTACCACCTAGTAACCAAAGCCTGGGATTAGTAATACGTTTACCTAGTTACCACCTAGTTACCACCTAGTTACCACCTAGTTACCACCTAGTTACCACCTAGTTACCACCTAGTTACCACCTAGTTACCACCTAGTTACCACCTAGTTACCACCTAGTTACCACCTAGTTACCACCTAGCTACCAAAGCCTGGGGTTAGTAATACGTTTACCTAGTTACCACCTAGCTACCACCTAGTTACCACCTAGTTACCACCTAGTTACCACCTAGTTACCACCTAGTTACCACCTAGTAACCAAAACCTGGGGTTAGTAATACGTTTACCTAGTTACCACCTAGTTACCACCTAGTTACCACCTAGTTACCACCTAGTAACCAAAGCTTGGGATTAGTAATACGTTAACTTAGTTACCACCTAGTTACCACCTAGTAACCAAAGCCTGGGGTTAGTAATACGTTTACCTAGTTACCACCTAGTTACCACCTAGCTACCACCTAGTTACCACCTAGTTACCACCTAGTTACCACCTAGTTACCACCTAGTAACCAAAGCCTGGGGTTAGTAATACGTTTACCTAGTAACCACCTAGTAACCAAAGCCTGGGGTTAGTAATACGTTTACCTAGTTACCACCTAGTTACCACCTAGCTACCACCTAGTTACCACCTAGCTACCAAAGCCTGGGATAAGTAATACGTTTACTTAGTTACCACCTAGTTACCACCTAGTTACCACCTAGCTACCACCTAGTAACCACCTAGCTACCAAAGCCTGGGATAAGTAATACGTTTACTTAGTTACCACCTAGTTACCACCTAGCTACTACCTAGTAACCACCTAGCTACCAAAGCCTGGGATAAGTAATACGTTTACCTAGTTACCACCTACCTTATCGGACCTTATTTGGACGGACATTACATGAACGGACATAATTGTGAACGGACATTAATATGAACGCTCGAAGGCATTCAAAACCATCAAAAATCCGAATTTTTATTAATTTTGGACGTTTTTTTAATTTCAGCAAATGATTTTTTAATCCATTCATTATACAGTAAGTAAGAATAGCAGTCATTAAGCAGTAAAAATGTTAAAATATGTGTACATGATCAGTGTCTAATATCACATATCATCTTCATTAAATAGGGTTTCGTGCATGAAATAGTCCATGCTTCAGTGGCGTAACGAAAGGCCCTGCTGACCCCGCTGTGCAGGGGGGCGCCCGGCGCCGTCTTAGGGGGGCGCCAAATCGTCGTTTGAATGTGGGACAATTTCGAAAACTTAACTAAAGTACTAGCAAAACTGCGCGTTTTGCTCTAGATACACACCTTTTTAGAGATTTTACCGGCGTATTCTTTAAAATCACCTAATTTGTTCAATTTTAGAGAGGGGCACCAAAAGGGGAGGGGGCGCCAACAAGGGGGCGCTTTTTTCGGCAGGGGGCGCCAACAGGCAACGTTACGCCACTGCCATGCTTAAACAAGCATCAGTGATTTCTAGCTTTGTGGAAACTTTTTTTATCAAACTACCCTGGTCCTGCATTTCAGTGTTAACTTTTACAAGCCATTCGGCGTTAAGTGGTTTTATCTTAGACAACTTAAGGTTAACCTTAACATCACTTGGAGCCTTCCTAGCACTGTTTCATAACCTCCCCTCAGTAATATGAACTATAAAAACGTCGGACAATGTCCTTGGCAACACGATTTACCGTAATATCTAGAGGCTGGAACAAGTTTGTCATGTTGGCGGGGACTAGCTCATGAACTATGTTGTTGAGTGTCATGATTTCGTTGACTTTTTCCGCCAAGTGACCCTTGAAAACATCATATACTAGTAGAGTTTTCTGTGCCTCCGGCAGACCAAGGAGAACCTTTCCGTCGTTAACTTACGGCACAATAAAGTTCTCATAGTTGTCATATTCTGGGTAAAAAGTTCGAAATGGAAAAATTGTTGAAAGAATTTCAACGGACTTTAACTTGGACGGACATTAATTGAACGGACTTTATTTGAACGGACATTAAGATGAACGCTAGGGCCTCCAGCGTTCAAGTAATGTCCGTCCAAGTAAGGTCCGATAAGGTAGTTACCACCTAGCTACCACCTAGTAACCACCTAGCTACCAAAGCCTGGGATAAGTAATACGTTTACTTAGTTACCACCTAGTTACCACCTAGCTACCAAAGCCTGGGGTTAGTAATACGTTTACCTAGTTACCACCTAGTTACCACCTAGCTACCACCTAGTAACCACCTAGCTACCAAAGCCTGGGATTAGTAATACGTTTTTTAGTTACCACCTAGTTACCACCTAGTTACCAAAGCCTGGGGTTAGTAATACGTTAACTTATAAGTTGACGGAATTCAAGTTTACTTTTAGTTTATTGACAATTTTGATAGCTAGCGAACATATAAAGGTGTAGACACATTTAGATTTTTAAGATGTAATATGAGAATTCATCACAGAAGAAATCTGACGGAGCTAAAGAAGAAACAAAGTTTGCCAGTCGTCTAGATATAAATAATGAGGTTTGTACTTTTTTTAAACGGATTGAGAAAGATGTAGCAGTTTCAATTTCCTTAGAACTTTAGAAGAATTTCAGTAAGATCTTTTATAACTAATAGTTACGATAGCTATATTAATTTAACCTGTATTCAAAACCTCGGGCGTCTATTTCAGTTGTGTCCAATGTGCGTGGCAGAAGAAATACAGAAAGGTAGACTTGAAAAACGAGAAACTGATCTGAAAGAAAAAGCTAAGGATTACATGTAAGTGAATGTAAAATTCTAAAATGAATAAGTGGTTATACAATTTACCAATTACCATAAACTTAAAGCGACGTCAACCAAAAAATTATGTATTTTTCATAGCTGGTCCGTCGATTTTCTCCGTCCGTACACTAGAGTACCTTGGTTTTTACCGTACCTCGAGAGTACCCAAAGTATTTTTGCAACTTTTGACGCTATTTTCACACGTTTTAAACAACTTTTAAAAAGTTTAAATTCTTCAATTTATCATCAAGATAAAGTTAAAGATATTAAGCGGAATCAATAAACATCTCATTCTCATATTCACTGTCTTCAGCCGTAGGGAAGTACAAAATTGAGCTTGTGTAATAATCTTAATGCTTTACGTACCTTAAATTAAATTTTTCCTGCTGTTTTAACGTACCCTAGAGTGCGTACGGACTACGGACCAACAATGGTATTTTTATTTCGTGTTTAACATGACATATACGTCACACATATGTACCTGTACCTTTATTCGAATATCTAAATTATCAGCTGCTTCCACTCTAATCTTCAGGTTAGCTGGTTCAGCAGTAGAACTTGCCAGAAAACAACTAACTAAACATCACAACAGACACTCACACTCTAGTTAACACCTAGTAACCACCTAGTTACCACCTAGTTACCACCTAGTTACCACCTAGTTACCACCTAGTTACCACCTAGTTACCCCCTAGTTACCACCTAGTTACCACCTAGTTACCACTTCCATTTTCAGGTTAGCTCGTTCAGCAGTAGAACTTGCCAGAAAACAACTAACTAAACATCACAACAGACACTCACACTCCAAGAAAAGTTTCATGTCGAGCTTCTTTTAAAGTTTTAAAAGTAGTGAGATACAATTTATAGCAGATATATTGGTAATAAATTGTACTTAAATATATCAAATTATATGTGTACCAAATTGTATATTATATATATCAAACTTACATATCAAATAATATAGCAGTGGCTACTTTACACTTACATTTGGTCTATATTATATTATTCGACTGTTAATAGAGGAGATTATATTTTTGTAGACAGACATTAGATCAATTGTTACTGCTTTACTGGCCAGGATTTTCATTGCCTTCAAGGTTACCACCTAGTTACCACCTAGTTACCACCTAGTTACCACCCTGTTACCCCCTAGTTACCCCCCTAGTTACCACCTAGTTACCACCTAGTTTTGTTGTATATCGATCGTTGTAAAATTAATGACCACATACAACACGCTAAAAAATCTTTTCACCGATAATACAAATGATACGTTAGATAAATCCAATAGCATGTCCGGATTAGAAGTGCTACTGGGACTCGGGATCACTGCCAACGCTATGTGGATTATTCAGAACGCTAGAATTGCTATCTTCGGGAAAAATGGATGCAAATGGTGTAAAAAGGTATAAAGATGAAATACTGTTGTGCTGAGAAGTTTTACTATGTTCCTTTTGCCTGCCTCTTTCACTATGGCTCATTTTTGAAATCCTTTAAAAGCACATGTTATCTCGGGAACGTACATATTATCGGAGATTTCTAATATTGGATCATTTTCCCGGCTTCAGATTTGGTTCCAAATGTTTAAATAAAGCAATGAGCCAATAAATCAAACAAAAAATCACGAAAATAAATTCCCACAAAAGCCAATGATTTTACAGTCATCAATTTTGCAGTTGAAGAGGTACCTATCAAAGTTGAGTCAGGATTACAGTTTCCAAGAGGACGACATTGTAGAGGTCGACATTGACAAGATCAAGGATGGTTACGATGTGAGTTGCACTTCTGGTAATCAAGATAGAACCCCCTAGTTACCACCTAGTTACCACCTAGTTACCACCTAGTTACCACCTAGTTACCACCTAGTTACCACCTAGTTGCCACCTAGTTACCACATAGTTACCACCTAGTTACCACCTAATCACCACCTAGTTACCACCTAGTTACCACCTAGTTACCACCTAGTTACCACCTAGTTACCACCTAGTTACCACCTAGTTACCACCTAGTTACCACCTAGTTACCACCTAGTTACCTAGGAATAGACATTTGGTTAAATTTGGTTAAAGGGCAGGGGGTGGGGGTTTGAGGGAGGGCAATAACATCGGATTACGTTGAATTTTCTTGCAAGCTATAAGTTTTCTGTTAATTAAGTTTGCACCATGTTCCATTTCAGATGTTTGATGGCTTGAGTAAAATTACAGGCAACAATACGGTTCCACAGGTAGGAGAAATTTTCAGTTACTTAATTGATTAATATTATTATGCAAAAGGAAGATTCAATGGTTTTCTGCGATGCATTCTGCAGCTGAATCCAGAAATCATATTTAAAGGATAAATCAGTCCTTTTTGCAGCTCGGGTTTAAGGTGAGGTACTAATAATCTTTTATTTTTGGATATTGTTTCTTTGAGTTATAATTCAAGGTTTTCGTTGACGAGACTTACGTTGGGGGATACCCGGAGTTAGTTACCACCTAGTTACCACCTAGTTACCACCTAGTTACCACCTAGTTACCACCTAGTTACCACCTAGTTACCACCTAGTTGCCACCTAGTTACCACATAGTTACCACCTAGTTACCACCTAATCACCACCTAGTTACCACCTAGTTACCACCTAGTTACCACCTAGTTACCACCTAGTTACCACCTAGTTACCACCTAGTTACCACCTAGTTACCACCTAGTTACCACCTAGTTACCTAGGAATAGACATTTGGTTAAATTTGGTTAAAGGGCAGGGGGTGGGGGTTTGAGGGAGGGCAATAACATCGGATTACGTTGAATTTTCTTGCAAGCTATAAGTTTTCTGTTAATTAAGTTTGCACCATGTTCCATTTCAGATGTTTGATGGCTTGAGTAAAATTACAGGCAACAATACGGTTCCACAGGTAGGAGAAATTTTCAGTTACTTAATTGATTAATATTATTATGCAAAAGGAAGATTCAATGGTTTTCTGCGATGCATTCTGCAGCTGAATCCAGAAATCATATTTAAAGGATAAATCAGTCCTTTTTGCAGCTCGGGTTTAAGGTGAGGTACTAATAATCTTTTATTTTTGGATATTGTTTCTTTGAGTTATAATTCAAGGTTTTCGTTGACGAGACTTACGTTGGGGGATACCCGGAGTTAGTTACCACCTAGTTACCACCTAGTTACCACCTAGTTACCACCTAGTTACCACCTAGTTATCACCTAGTTACCACCTATATAATTCCAGGTTTTCGTTGACGAGACTTACGTTGGGGGATACCCGGAGTTTAAAAACATGTACAGAAGTAAACAGATTCAAAAGATGCTGAACCCCGTAATGATGAACAAACAGATAACCCATTGTAAAAAGTGTAGCCAGGTGAGTTTGTTGTTGATAAATTATGTTGATTAATTGATTTCTCATTTGATAAAATTAATGGATTTCCCGTCGGACAGGAAGAAAAATCAAATGTTGGCAAATTAAAAAGGTTATTACATGTAATAATGTTGAAATTATCTAATCTCAATTACTCATACTTAGTCATAGTTATAGTTATTCTTTATCTATCGAAGAATGCTTTAATTTAAACAGAAATTCGTAACGGTCATGGTTTATTAATGAGTAAATTCTCAGGAGAAAAAAGAGGAGAAACGAAAAAGGAAAAAGAAGATGGATGACCTCTTAAAAGACAATGATGATGAATTGTTATTTGCTAATAACGCAATTGCGATTCCACAATTCGATTCTTGACAGTTGTTGATATTTTCTTTCTTTCTGTCGTTCTTATCAAATCATAAAGTAAAGACTAAAGCTACGCGAAAAGCTACAAACGAAAATGTTCACTAATGTATCAAAACTGAAGTTCCATTGCATTATTTCCGTATTGGTTAAAATTGTTTTATGTAAATTTAGGAGCATGTTATGAAGTTCACTAACGACTGAAGAGATCATGTAACCTAGTTACCACCTAGTTACCACCTAGTAACGACTGAAGAGATCATGTCTATGTTGTGGAGTATCATAAGCACCATACAGCTTAAAAAGGTCGTCATTTTTAATAGGTAGAACTAATGTGCATAGAACCATCCTTTGTTATATGATTTTATTTATGGTATTTATATTGTATTATGCGAGGTCACTAAGAGTTTGCCTTCCTTTAACGTTAATCTATGATGGAAATTACCTCGATTTTATTTTCAAAGAAAGAATGGAAATGAAATAATAGTAAATATCTCAGGAGCAAATCAGTATACACGAAGAAAGTTAAAAAGTTGATAACCAAGAATGGTTACAGTGAGGACGATGCTTTAGTTATAAATCTTGATGAGATGAAAGCAGGGGATACAGTCCTGGCTCATCTATACAAACTTACAGGTACCTGGAATTTATTAAATCACTGTGTCGGAAAATAGATTTTTGGATCATGTCTGCATTATTGCGTTTTTGTCTGCAATAAATGTTCTCTCCATGAAAACCCCACTCGAATATCAACAAACTTCCCTCCGCAAACTTTCTTCCGCAAATTCAGGAGACACGGATCTTCCAAAAGTGTTTGTAGAGGAAACCTACATGGGAGGATACAATGACTTGAAGGCAGCGATCATGTCCGGACAGTTCAAATTCATCACCAGAGACAGGTTTAATATCTAGTAATGGAGAAAGTTATTTTAAAGTTCTCAAGCTTAACTGAAGGCACTACAGTAATATAATCAATAGATAAGAACGATTGCATTTATGAATAATTATGACACTCGCAGTTAAAGTAATGATCAAGTTTTATTTGTTGGATATTTCCAAAGTGTTGACTGGATAAATCATAATTGCAACACTACAAATCTATTACATTTTTTGAGTATTATGTATCACCATGGAAATATTTTAAGCGGGTAAAAGCCTGTCCAAACCCAGGCTACATAACATTAAGACTTTGTTGTAAATTGTATGAAAAGCATTAATAGATTATTTTAACTTTCCAATTATTCCAGGGGCTGTATAGAGTGCACAGATGACTGGAGGAGTAACAGATTTACAGATAAACTTGATATTTTACCAACACTACCTGCATCGTCAGCTGTTCCTCCACAGACTTCAGCTTTCTCTTTCACTGACAAACTCATGGGAATTAAACCTTTCTTTAAGAAACATTGACATGATCCTTATTTCGGACCTTTGCCGATTGTTGAGATTCGACATCTAGCGTCAGATAGCGTTAGATGACGCTAGATGACGCTAAATGACGCTAGATGACGCTAGATGACGCTAGATGACGCTAAATCACTAAATGACGCTAAATGACGCTAGATGACGCTAGATACCGCCAGTTAGCGACAATGTCGTCAATTGTCGTGTACCCTTTCAATGTCGCTATCTAGCGCTAGATGTCGCATAAACCTATAAGAAGAATTTAACAGGCTTTTGTAAATGAACTAAGATAAGCTGTGTATAGTACAAAAGAAGAATGGCTCAGTGGACAGAGACTAACTTCCTTGGATCTGGAGATCACGCCATGTAACCATGCCTTGGAGTTTACTTTTAGGGTAAAAAATAGATAAAAATACAGTGCTTTCACCATGCGTTGTGCGCCCGTCGTCAGAAAATCAAATTGCCAAAATTATATCATGAATGAGAACGGAGGGATGCAGAATGATCGTGATTCGGGTTAGTGTGGGCTTTGGTGTGAAAGTTACTCCAGAGGCCCGGAAATATGCCTTGCAACTATCTGAAAAGTTTGGGAAGAGACCCATGATCAGGTCTGGAGATATCTGCCTGGAAAGTTTTGAAAATTCTATTGGTCTTCATTCCCCGAGATATCTCCGCTGGTTCCAAAAATGGTGCTTTCAATCATATCTCAATGAAATGCCCACGAAATTCGCCCAAACTCGCACAGATTACTTGTCGTGGGTTTTATTTTGTAATTTGTAAACCACAACCGTTTATTGCCTTCAGTGTCAACAATTTTATAACCTTGGCTTTGTAAGTAGTGCCAATTAAAATCCCAAATGATAGACTTTCATTTAAACAAAATGATTAAAAGTTACAAAAATTATATGACAAAGAAGAACACGCAAAAAAATCCAAAATTTCTCAGTTCTAATCTTAAATTCTATCACACCAAACTAAAGATTACAACATTAATAGAAAAAGTAAATTTAAAAATCAATCCACAATTCATAATTCATTTAGTCTGGAAAAGATAACAACATGAACAAATCATTCAACCGATACACAATAATCAAACTTCGAGTCTAAACGTAAATATACAAAAATTACAGTATAGTTGGCAGATGTCATCTCGTTACAAATGTCAGAAACAAAACATAGAATTATATGAAAGAATCTCCAAGAACTACTGCCAAAGTTTCGTAGATTTTCAATGTTTTGAAAATAAGTCCATAAATGGACATAAATCATGACATTCATCTTAACGCGTTTGAAATCGTCGTCAAGTTAAGTTGATAAGTCTGAGAAGCCTTTTCAGACTTATCAACTTAATTTGACGAATTTTCAAAATTAATGTAATATAAAGTTTACAATTTTTTCAACACTAAAAAGAACAAAAAACAGTCATTTAAAATCTAATGAGAAGATCCAAATCCTTTCTGATGGTGTCCAGGGTTGAATCCGCCGTGATGGTGCCCACCTGATGAAGGGGTGATAAGTCTGAGAATGTAATCAAGTAATTTAACAAATTCTTCAACACGGTTAAACTGTACGGAAAATAATCTATCATTCAGAATCTACTGATGAGATCCAAAGCCTCCACGATGGTTTCCGGGATTAAATCCACCATGGTGATGCCCTGGCCCAGGATTGAAACCACCATGATGATGTTCTGGTCCAGGATTGAATCCTCCATGGTGATGTCCTGGCCCAGGATTGAAACCACCATGGTGATGCTCTGCCCCGGGATTAAATCCACCATGGTGATGCTCTGGCCCAGGATTGAGACCACCATGGTGATGCTCAGGCCCAGGATTGAATCCTCCATGATGATGTTCTGGCCCAGGATTGAAACCACCATGGTGATGTCCTGGCCCTGGATTAAAGCCTCCATGGTGATGCCCTGGGTTAGGATTGAATCCACCATGGTGATGACCACCTGGAGATGGATTGGTTAGATTAGAGGTTAAGCTATGAAAACATCCAGAGCAGTAGCATAGGATAAATGAGTCTTCATTTGTCTAGTAGGAATAGGGTTAGAAATAGAGCAACACACTCTATAACTACAACAAGGACATGATCGTACTTATATTTAAAACAAATCATTTAACCGAAAAAAAAGATAATTACTCCCGCATTGTGGCTGTAAAGATAACGCTTTTAAGATAACAAACCTTTAACAACAACATAGGAATAATCGTGAGTCTCATGCTCCTTCCCTCCCCAACTGTACCATCCTTTTACCCCGTTCGATTTGCCGGGAATCTTCCCGTGGCTGGTATGGTGACAAATAACCATGTAGTATGTTCCGTTGGGCTGATGGCCGGCAACAGCTCCTTTCGGTGGAGATCTGGGAGAGATGACGTCACGTGATGTTATGAGATGACGTCACGTGATGTTTTGAAATGACGTCACGTGATGTTATGAAATGACGTCACGTAATCCAAATAATTGCGGATAAGATATAGGAGCAGCAAGCGTGATGCAGTTTATACGTCAAGGGATATGATAGATTATGCTAAAAAATGCTAAAACTTACTGTTTTTTGTGGAACAAATAACAGTAAACTTAATGTTTTCTGTGGTAACAAATTATAGTAAACTTACTGTTTTTTGTGGTAACAAGTAAACTTACCGAGATTTCTCCAAGACCACGTGGGTACCAGGGTGAGCTTTAGCGTACTGGAAGTCAGTGGTCTCGTGTTCTTTTCCGCCGTGTGCGTACCACGCTTTGTTTTGCTTAGCCTGTACATGTTATCATGATATTTATAGTAATATCAAATAGTAGTGGAATTTGGGGAAATGGCATTTGTCTTCAAGCTTAGATTAAGAATTCGATATTAACTGTGGTCCGACAGAAACGTCCAAAAAGTTTAGCAATTTACTACTTGGAGGTATTTAATTTGTCAAACAGTGAACATGAAATTTGAAAACGTCGTTAAGTTAGAAACGTTATCTGATGACGGCACTAATTTATGCGATGACGTAAATAAATTATGTGATGACGTCACGATGTCTGTGGTCCCCTTGACCGAAAACTCGCGGTTTTGACTAAAATTTTGATCAGTGACCAATCAGTGAGGTCGGTGAGACTGACACAATTCGCCATCAAGGTACTGAGCAGTATACCTGGAGAAAACTTTGATGCAATGAACATTTTTAATATGTCCTATTGGTAGGGCATTTTTTCACAAGGTCACTGAGGATGACACAAGACACCATTGAGTTACTCAAAGTTCTATTCCCAAAGAAAGCTTTGATAAACGGAAAATCATCAAAATATAAAAAGAGATTTTGGAAGAATTTTAAGAGAAGCTTTTATGCAGCATGCAGAAAAGCTCCTCCTCAAAAATCTGACGTACCTTTGCTGGAATCTGTCCGTGGGGAGTGTTAGCTATTACACACCACAAGTGACCTGATCCGTCGTTCTGGTGACCCTGTTTGAAACTATCACAAGGAGGGATCTGACCCATGTTCTGCACCAGGTCATACATCTTGCTATATAGTTCATAGTTTTAATTAGTTAATAGTTTAAATAAGTTAAATCTTAACTTTAAGACGTGCAATTGATGCAGGAACAGAATGATACAATTTTGAAATGGAAATAACTTTGCGGTCTCCAGAAATTTTGTAAAATATGACAAATCATATTTAGTGGTTACTCTAGTAAGACAAACGAGCGGTGTAGACATACTGTTGTCTGTTTCAGTTTGATACTGGTGTCATGCCCTAATGCTTACAATATTTTTGATTCTCACAACGGCTAATAAATCACATGCACATTAATTGCAATTAAAAATACGAGTCTTAAAATAAAATTCGTTGGAAAAAATCAGCTAAAACAATAATATCTATATTGGTATTAATAATAATAATTAATTTTAACAGATAAAACAATAATATCTATATTGGTATTAATAATAGTAATTACTATTATATCTATAATGGTATTAATAATAGTAATTACTATTATATCTATATTGGTATTAATAATAGTAATTACTATTAACAAATATCATTTGAAAGCAAAATCAAGGATGCGCTGACTAATGAAAGTAATGCGGCTCTGAAAATTATTCTAATGAAAATAATAAAAATTAGTTAAACTATATTATTGTATCAACAGAATTTGTAGTTGATAGAAATAAAAATGTTTGCCTCGAAGAAGTGCAAGTTTTAACTTTCAGCCTTAATATGACAAATCATATTTAGTGGTTACTCTAGTAAGACAAACGAGCGGTGTAGACATACTGTTGTCTGTTTCAGTTTGATACTGGTGTCATACCCTAATGCTTACAATATTTTTGATTCTCACAACGGCTAATAAATCACATGCACATTAATTGCAATTAAAAATACGAGTCTTAAAATAAAATTCGTTGGAAAAAATCAGCTAAAACAATAATATCTATATTGGTATTAATAATAGTAATTAATTTTAACAGATAAAACAATAATATCTATATTGGTATTAATAATAGTAATTACTATTATATCTATAATGGTATTAATAATAGTAATTACTATTATATCTATATTGGTATTAATAATAGTAATTACTATTAACAAATATTATTTGAAAGCAAAATCAAGGGTGCGCTGACTAATGAAAGTAATGCGGCTCTGAAAATTATTCTAATGAAAATAATAAAAATTAGTTAAACTATATTATTGTATCAACAGAATTTGTAGTTGATAGAAATAAAAATGTTTGCCTCGAAGAAGTGCAAGTTTTAACTTTCAGCCTTATCGTTATCAGAACAGAACATGACACTATTACCTCATAAAAATACAGGGTCATCACTCCACTAACTTTTAGATAAAAGAGAAATTTGATCAGGACACTCCTTGGAATGCGGTGATGTGACGCATTTTATCTTACACGGGACTAAGAAATGCAAGAGAAAATACTGCAGTCAGCGTGACTACAATTACTCTTTAGTGGATATAAAGGATATAATTTAAGCTCAAAGGATGTAGTCATAAGGATGGAGTCATAAGGATGTAGTCATAAGGATGGAGTCATAAGGATGGAGTCATAAGGATGGAGTCATACGGATGGAGTCATAAGGATGGAGTCATAAGGATGGAGTCATAAGGATGGAGTCATAAGGATGGAGTCATAAGGATGTAGTCATATTAGAAACGCGCTGGATAGGTTATCAGTCAGCACAATAATAATCACAAAACATGTTTTGAAGTGAAAGTTTCATTTTAACTTGTAAGTGATATGAGCTTTATGAGTATTATATCTGAATTCAAGAAAAGGAAACTACTCCTTGAGGAGGAAAGCGCGGGGCAGAGGATCAAGTGAAACAAAATTTTAGTAAAGAAATATAATTAATAGAAAAATGGTTTAGTAATTAAGAAACCAATAAACCGGGATGAGACACTTTAAAATACAGGGTTATCACTCCACTAACTTTTAGATAAAAGAGAAATTTGATCAGGGCACTCCTTGGAATGCGGTGACGTGACGCATTTTATTTTACACGAGAAATACAAGATAAAATACTGCAGTCAGCGTGACTACGACTACTCTTTAGTGGATATAAAGGCTATCTATAAAGCTCAAAGAATGGAGTCATAAGGATGGAGTCATAAGGATGTAGTCATATTAGAAACGCGCTGGATAGAGTATCAGTCAGCACAATAATAATCACAAAACATGTTTTGAAGTGAAAGTTTCATTTTAACTTGTAAGTGATATGAGCTTTATGAGTATTATATCTGAATTCAAGAAAAGGAAAGTACTCCTTGAGGAGCAAAGCGCGGGGCAGAGGATCAAGTGAAACAAAATTTTAGTAAAGAAATATAATTAATAGAAAAATGGTTTAGTAATTAAGAAACCAATAAACCGGGATGAGACACTTAAAAATACAGGGTTATCACTCCACTAACTTTTGGATAAAAGAGAAATTTGATCAGGATACTCCTTCGAATGCGGTGATGTAATACATTATTACACGAGAAATACAAGAGAAAATACTGCAGTCAGCGTGACTACGACTACTCTTTAGTGGATATAAAGGCTATCTATAAAGCTTAAAGAATGGATTCGTAAGGCCAGGATGGAGTGATAAGGATAGAGTCATAAGGATGGAGTCATAAGGATGGAGTGATAAGGATAAAGGATGGAGTGATAAGGATGGAGTGATAAGGATGGAGTGATAAGGATGGAGTGATAAGGATGGAGTGATAAGGATGGAGTGATAAGGATGGAGTGATAAGGATAGAGTCATAAGGATGGAGTCATAAGGATGGAGTCATAAGGATGGAGTCATTAGGATGGAGTCATAAGGATGGAGTGATAAGGATAAAGGATGGAGTGATAAGGATGGAGTGATAAGGATGGAGTGATAAGGATGGAGTGATAAGGATGGAGTGATAAGGATGGAGTGATAAGGATGGAGTGATAAGGATGGAGTGATAAGGATGGAGTGATAAGGATGGAGTGATAAGGATGGAGTGATAAGGATGGAGTGATAAGAGAAGCGCGGGCACTGGGCAGGGAATCAGGCAGCACAATAATATTCACAAAACATGTTTTAAAGTAGAAGTTCCACTTTAACTTGTAAGTGATATGAGCGGGGCTATTATATTTGAATTCAAGCGAAGGAGCAGCTCTGAAACTACTCCTTGAGTAGCAAATCGTGGGGCAGGATTCAAGAAAAGATTCAAGAAAAGGATCGCACTTTCATTTCCTAGAAATATAGAAAAATTCTATTTCGGGCAATGCTTATGTTGAGTCTCCACCAGATAAAAATATTTTTTGTACATTGTGAGGATTTTGGTACAGAAATATAAATGATATAAAAAAGGTTTAGTGAGCTACACCAAAAAAACCTGGCCAGGGCCTAACTTCAAAAGTAAAAGAGCTAGAGGCTTCTGTTTTTTTTTGCAAAATGTGCGCCTTGTAAAAATAACGTTTCCCCCAGGGAGAAAATTCAAGACAGACGTAGATTTTGAGTCATCTTAAAATCTTCAGAAAAGTCTCATTTTGGGCCGATCAAAACTTTGCAGATTTCTGTACTCGGATTGGCTGAATTGTGTCACGTGCTAGCTGCTTGAACATTGGAATGCACCGCGCGTGCAAATCATTTAATGTCGCGCGAGCGTGCTAAATCACTTTACACATTACAGTCGATCTTCGAGATTGTTCCAAAAGGGCCCCCGTCGCGCGCTAGCTCGAGCCATCTGTTTATTAAATTATACCACCTCTATATTCTATAAGTAACACGGCCAGCCAGACTGAGCCAGTAAGGTTTGGTGGGTGTGACTCAATATGCATGTGGCTACTTTTTG